GGGGGGGGGGGGGGGGGTGACGTGGAGGCGTAATAACTCGAACAAGTGTTTTTGACGGCCGGTGTACCCTCCGGTCGGTGAAGTAAAAAAAGTACCATGGAGGTGAACGGGTGGTTCATGCCATTCTGCCGTACGTCGCGTAGGCAAACTCGCCTCATCGAGAGTTGCTGTTCCCTATAAAGGCCCGGCAGCCGAGCCTTGTTGAGTGTGGGTGAGGCTTTACGAGCCGTTGGGGGAAGGGAACCTTTTGTCTTTTTGCGTGCTGTAATGATATCTAACAGGTTTTATGAAAAACGCGGCCGTGAGTTTATTTTTAGTCCTCTTTGTTTGTCGGTGCTGGTAAAACGTCTCGGTGTGAAGAGTATTTTGCTCTGTATTGTTATCCTTGCGAACAATAATAAGTCATGTTTCGGATAAATTCGCCTCTCCCAGAGAAGCTCACGCGCGTGATACGCTACGTCCAGGGGCGATGGGCGGGTGTGTGCTGAGCTCGGTCCTACGGTGTTAGCCTACGCAAGACTGCTGTAGAGCAAAACACTCGAAGACTGCAAAAGCCGCCGTATTTTGCTGTGAACCATCTCATAGTCTCAAGTCAGGGCTGAAGTTCGTCGGTGTTGGTATGGCGTGTAGTATCGTTTATGCGCAGCAGGTTTTAGTTCCTCGATTCAGCAGCCTGCCCGTCGCGTGATTTCCGGGCCGCGCCTGCACATGTATGTACGCGCCTTTTTGTCCTCTCGTGACGAAAAGAGAAAAGAGAGCGAGTGTTTTAGTTGTGCTGTCGTTGGTTTTTAGCGTGTGCGGTACACGTCTTCTGGTCTGTTCGAACGATGATGGGCGGAGGCAAAGCTGCTGGGTGTGTTGCTGAGTAGGCACTACTGCTGTGCTCTTTGTGTACGTCAAGTCGTTTCTTCTGATGCTTTTGGTTTTCTTTCGCAACTATTTTTGTTGCTCGTTCATCCCTCACATAGTTCTGAGGGGATTGTGATGATTCTCAATAGTGCATCAGCGAAATCTCCTACTTGTTACCTCTGAAAGAAGGCGAATATTTCAAAGTTGTGTGCTACGGAGGCCTTGGAGCAATCCAACGCCTGGGGGGCACTCTGGCAAAGCCCTTGCAGAAGAATCGGGGTCCCCAATCGATTTCGTTTCCTCCGGACGGGTAATGCCAATCCCCAGGGCGATCGCCTTCACCGGAAAATGCCGCCTTCGAAGGCGATGTACTTGATGGTCCAACACGAACACGGTTATTAACCGTACATATCCAGCAGTTCGAACAAACGTACAGCAGTTTTCGCGTTCGACTGTAGCAGCGACGAGCCCGATGTAGCCAAAAGACACCAGAAGCGGCGCTTGTGTAAAGCCAGCTGTGGTCAAACTCACGCCAGAGACGCTATACACACAAAAGGCAGAGAAGACCATCAATCCAACGGAACCAGCATCACATTCTCGCTTTTCAGCAGCAGCAGCAGCAGCAGCAGCAGCAGCAGCTGTGGCAGAGGGAGGGGAACCCGAAACTCTCTCTTGTTCGTATGCCGTTAAGCGCCCCCCATCCCTACTAGCAGTCGACGCACTCCCACTGCGCGCCCGCCGCGTTGACGGCGATCGCTGCCACGTTGGGGCCCGACAGACCGGAGTAGGCCTGCCCGAGGCTGGTCCCGTTGACGAAGAACGTCACGACGCCCCCGTCCGCGTCGTACATCACCGTCACCACGTCGCCGTCGGTGATCGAGGTCGAGGAGTACTCGTCCACGGCCGTGTTGCCGCCGAGCTTGCTGCTGCCCGTGCCGGCGATGAAGCCGGTAACGGGCAGGTACGGTCGGGCTGTTGTGGGGGCGGGGCGGGGCGGGGCGGGGGGGGGGTGCTAGCATCGATCGGCTGACTAGTGAAACATGCAAAGCCTTACTTACAGCGGGAGAAAATAATGCAAACGTGCTTGGTGGCTTGGTGGCTTGGTGGTATTGTGTTGGAGGGCGAGTGTGTGTGTGTGATAGGAGTATAAAATAGAGATTTGGCGTACGTGTGTGAGTGTGACTATAATAATAGATCGAAAAAATTTAGCGAGTTTTTTCGTTTACCTCGAGGGCAGCATCAAGAGCTGCAGTTCGAAAAAAGGCAACACGAAATCAATTGGTTCCTCTCAATCACAACTCTTGAGAGAAAACGGTGTAGGAATTCTCCAACGTGCCAAAACTGGTATTAAAAGACTATAGAAGGCAATATCAAACCACTAGACTAGTCAGCGCTGACTGTTAGTCTTCTGTTTGATATCGGCTTCTTTGAGACGCACAGCAGTACACTCATACACACACACACCTGTAGAGGGACACCCCGTAGAACACGAAAAGGCGTTTCGTAAAGTCGAGTGTCCGGCGACGACTTCCTGAGACGCCCGCAACAAAAAAGCAACAACCACACGTATCTACGAACGTAGAGATACAACTCACAAGGGCTCTGCGAATGCGGTCGGGCGATTCCGACGATGGCTGCCCAAGCGCTCCACTTCTCGGTTCGGCCGATCTTGTTCGCTCGGACGGACCACCGATGAAACCCAGACCTGTTGGTTTTATTGCCGTTGGGGCGCAAAACATCTGCGTGAACTGACACTTCCCTGAAAAGCCTGAGGCGCCACGCCCGCGCAAAACGCCACGTCTGCCTTCCGGCACGGGTGCGCATGCATGCGGAGTATAGACACTCCCAGTGTTTCCGTGGCCTGCCCAGGAAAAAACACAGCGGGACGTCTGCCGGCAATTGACAGTCTTTGGTTCTCGCTTCACCAATCACCCTCCTTTGATGCATGTTTTCCGGCCGGGACGCCAATGATGCGTTTCCACACCACCACAAGAGTTGTAGGTATATTTTTCCCTTCTGAGAGGACCCCCCGGTGCTCTAGACGGCGGGTGGACTTTTGGGCCCTATTTCTCTCGCTGAACGTGAAAACGATTTCAGCCATCTTTCGCGCAAAACGACGACACGCACGGCGTGCACACACACACCGTGATCGGTGACATCGATACCAAAATTACCAACGCCACGATCACCACCACCACTACCACCAACATCAAGGAACCCTCAAAAGTCCACGTAACGCATCCACCACCCAGACCGCGCCTGAACCCACCTCATGACGCGATTTCCGTAAACTCCGACCCAGTCTCCCACGGACGTTGTGACTGCGCGGCGGTAACATCAAACGAGACGGCTCGAATCAGACCGCGCAAAGGAATACGTGTGCCTTTGACGCTCTTGGGTAAAATAAGAAGAGCCACGGCGGAGTCTCCGTATCGCTGTTTGTGTTACCGGAGTCATCCCATTGTCGGTCGCCGAGAGCGCGAGGGTGTTGCTGATGTGATGCCGTAAGGCAGAGAGGCGCCACACGCAGATAGACAAATCCCGACCTACGCCGAAATCAATGCATGATTATACCACCGACGGAGACTTGCTTGCAACATAGCCAAGAAAAGGCAGGGGAACAAGAACTTGCGTCCCGGGTCGTCGTGAAACTTTGTCTGCGTGACTAGACACAGACACAATAAGAAAATACGGTACAGCTAGCTTCGTGGACGCTCGCCTGTCCGGTTGTCGTCGGCCGTCCATGCTCCCGCAGCAAGGCTTGACGCGTCCCAGGCAAGCCTCTTCCCGCGTGGCCGCGCCTTTGTTTTTGTTGTTGCACGGCCACCCGAGACGTAACGACATCATGGCGCGTGTTGTGAGGGAGGGACGGCGATCAACCGCAGTTTCGAGAGATGGTGAGAGGGGACACTCAAGAGGAGAAAGGTGTCGGGGGAAACCGCTGACACCACCTGAGTACATTCACTCAGTCATTTTGTGCTTTTTCTGTTGCGTGCCGTTTTGTACCATTGCCGTCAATCCGAGCAAAATACTTGGTACTATCCGTATCGACGAACCAGGCAGAAAATATCATCACGAAATCGGCAGAATTTTCCGGGAGAGGGGAGAGAAGGGAGAGGAGCTCAAAAAAAATCTGGTTATCTTGAAGCACTGGTAATATCATGCCTGTACGTGCATCTCAAGTACGCTCCATCTACTGCTGTACAAGCACGTCAAGGCACATAACTAACCCCTAGATAGGGGGCCTCAGGGGGCGGAAAAACCCCTCTGTGTGATGTGACTATGGACTGGAGCTCCTACCCTGCAGAAATGCTGTGTGCGTGAGCGCTGATATTTGGAGTGTTGATAAAATGCAAATACTACCGAGGAGGTGGGAAAATATCTCGTGGGACCGCCAAACGGAGCTCCTCCTTGGCAAAACACGACCATAGGGTGGGTAGAACCCAGCATCGGGATGATGGCACAGGTTGTGCGCCCGTGTGGCGTCTCTCTCTCTCTCTCTGTGTCTCTCTGTCTGTCTCTCTCTCTGTGTCTCTCTCTGTGTCTCTGTCTCTGTCTCTGTCTCTGTCTCTGTCTCACCGTCAAGCAATCGCCCGTCCACCTTGTCGGATCGGCGTGGTACGTGACGGCATCGAGGATCGCGTCTGCGGCGATCAGGTTTGTCGGCCGAACGACCGACATGAGCTCTTTCAGGGACATGAGCGGGAGGCGAAAGTGGCGAGACAGCTGTGGCCACGAGAATTAAAAAAAAAAGTGCGGAAGGAATGGCAGGGGTACTCAGCTGATTGGGGGACGGGGTGTGGAAAATGGCGGGAATGCGCTGCCTCGACACAAAGACGTGGGTCTTCCCCTCAGTGAAACAGGGGGGTAGTCAACTGGTTCATGGCGAAGGTGGGGGCGGGGGGGGAACTCGAAGAAAAGAGCATATCAACCCCTTCGATGTTTATGTCATACGCATCTGATCCAGAAAACGAGCAACATGCTAGGCAACGACCCTAGCACGCAGCGTCGGGAGGAGCAGCAGAAAGAGGGGGTCACTGCTTTTATTGAGCTGGTGAAGGGCATCTGTATAGCTATGTAATAGACACGAGCGCAGTACACTTTTTGTGCAATCAAGCAGTACCTCCCGCACCGGACATCACGACCCCCCCTCCCCCCGTACACCGCGGCAGCTTCGCAGGCGGCGACACAGCAGTTTGCTACTGTACAGAGGGAGGTGCAGCAGCAGGCACACCCTGTGCCGCGAGGGGGGAACTGCTACTCTCTCTGCCGCGAGCACACTTTTGCAGCACTGCACAGCACAGCACTTCTGCGGACCAATCACTGCGCATGTCGCACACAACTCGCCTCATCAACGTGACGTCGCCTCTCGGCCGTATCTCTCGATACCCAGGCCTGCACCGCCTTGAAGAGCTCGGCCTCATTCACCTGCAGCTCTCCCTCCCTCACAAGGCTCAGCACCTGTTGACACCGGAGCTCCAGGAAGCTCTCGCTCTTCAACACCCTGGTCCCACACGTCATGTCGAGAAGAGACGCCCCGGGTGGGGAGGGGGGGAAAAGGAAGATACAATGGTGAGAGGAGGAAAGCGCGGAGAGGGCGAGGCAGTGCAGGGAGAAGGAAGCGGGGGCGGGGGTGTCGAGTGGCTGACTACGTTGCAGAGCGAAAAATCGTCCAAGAAACGGGCGTAAGTGTCAAGAACGGGTGGCTGAAACTACACAATCTAGCAGGGTTCAGACCAGGGTTCACGTCGAGGAAGATAATTCGCGGTGTTTTGTCATTTGTTGTTGTCACCGTCGTCTCACTTGTTGCGGCGCGTAGAAAGCCATTTCCTACATGATCTGCCATGGACGCTACCTTCTCTTTGCGATGCTCCCACAAGTCACCGCCACACGCCAAACCGGTTGCTCTAATCTTGCGACACTTGTTTACGCTGACGGAAGGCGACAGACGACGGCCCCATAAACCCCTAGAGGTGAACACACACATGGTGCGCATCTCAATAGAGTCGGGGGGGTCTCTACAGTGCGGAAAAGTGTCAAGCGTCTTCGCCCGCATTTTAGCGGGTACCAACAGTTTTCAACGTATTAACCATCTTGAATATTCCATCTGTGCCAGCCAACTTCACCCGCAAAATATCGGCACCCGCACTAAATAAGACGCACTTGTAAGAGGGCCCCCGGCTGTATGGAATTGTTGGTTCACCTGGGCGTGTTGTCCTTGATGAGATCCCAGCACTTGGCCGCAAGTTCGTCGTGTCCGTAGTACTCCGCCGCCTCCAGCACCCGGCAAACATCGTCGCAGTTCATGCACTCGTCCAAGACTTCCGCGCAAGCTTTCAGGAGTTCGCCCATCCCGAACCGGTGCGCCAGCGAAAAAATGTCCATCACGTTGGCTGAACGCGGGCGGGTGATCGAATCGGTCGGGGCGTGGTGTGGTTCGGCGAGTCGGTGGGTGTCTCACTTCACCACGGTGGTGAGGGCGAACTCATATTTGTGGAGGCACACGAACATGTATGTCTCCTCTTCCGACTGGGAGAGGTTCTGATATCTGTAGAAACGGCTGCAATTAGGTTGTCCTACCATTTCCCCGCGGCCGCTATTGTAGTCTCTCTCTCACTTACCCGCGTCCACGCTAACTTTTCCCGTGTAGACGTATCTCATGATGGCCTCAAACCCTTCCGGCGTGACGTCTCTTAACTCGACCCTCCTCGTCTCCGATTCGCTCATACCGCCGTACAGCAGAGCGCGGAAGTACGCCGAGCACGAGGCGAACAAGACACGATGGCACCTGAACTCTCTACTGGTAGTGCCCAGGCTGCTGCTGGTGTTGCCTGAGGTATCGTGAGCAGGAGAACAGGAGCTCAACTTCGTGGATGACACAGAACCGGAGGTAGTTACCGCTGCTGTGCCGACGTCCGTTGTTCCTTGGGTTAGCTTATCCGCTCCTTCCCTGTCGCTTTCCAGCTCTCCTCCGCCTGTTCCCCCCCCTGCTCCTCCGGCCAAGGCCTCTTGGCCCTCGCCCCGGTGCCTCTCCCTATTTTCACAGCTCCCAGCTGTGTCACTATCGGCGATTCCAGCACCCGAGACATTCTTGCCACTGCAGTTGTCGCCTCTATGCGAGCCTTGTTCTAGCGTTTCAGTCCTTGGTCTTGCCCGCTCTGGTGTACCAGCCGGTTGTGGAATAAGGCCTTCAGAGCTGGAAGGAGCCGACGCCACGGACGTCACGACAAACGTTACGTCGCACGTATCACCATCCACCATATCAAACAAGCAATTCAGTCTCGCGACGGAATGGTCCACATCGCAGCGGCAGCCCCTACTCCCGCCTGTCCCCTCCATGTCCCTCCTGTACTATGTCCGTTGTGCTATCCGTGCAAGCGAGGCAGCGAATGCGGCGCAATTACATGTGAGACTCCGAGCGGTGCGGTTCCGGAGAGAAACCAAAGTTTTACCGTGCGGATCCGTGGTGGTTGATCCAGATCGAATGCATCCGCGATCGGTACCCGCGTGTAGGCGCGCGCGCTATCTCCCTCTGTCTCTCTCTTCTCTGCCCAGGCCCCTCCTCGCCGTTCTCAACTCCCATCGTGCTCTGCCTACATGTCATCCCGCTGTGGGCAACCTGTAGTGTCATCCTCAAGCCAGAGAGGCTGTCTCCGTCTTGAAGCTTCGGCAGCACCACAACAGCAGCGGCGGCCCAAACCGCGGAAGATTCCCTGTCCCAATAGGCCCAGTTTATCTCGGAAAGCAACAACTACAACATCTACAGCAGGCTCAGCGGAAACATTGAACAGGAGAAGAACAAAGAGCGACAATGCTTCAAAGCTCCAAGAGCTCAAGCTCGCCTTTGGCCTTCTCTCGAAAGAAATCCAAGGCCTGGACGGAGAAGAAGGAGATCAGTGCTTGCCATGCCCGCCAGCCACCGAAAGCTCGGCGGCTGTCACCAAAGGAGAAATGCGGCGAAATGAAGCCTCGAAGCCGTTGACACCTGCCGTGAAGAACACGGGCATCCCACCATCAGCGGTGGCCACCGAAGAAGCGCCTCAGCAGTCGCATGGCGGTCTTGCGGCGGCAGCCAATCTCCCGGCGAAGAAGGCAGCAACTTCACACCCTGGCGTGCAACAACGAAGCAATGAGGCAGCGGATGACCTCAATAGAATGGGAGCTGATCAACGAAACAAAACGGCAGCGGATGGTCTCGATAGAGTGAGAGCTTCATCCCACGCCGAGGGGAGAAAGGCCGCTGAAGCAGCAGCAAAGCAGGCGAAACAATCTTTGAAGCAGCTCGATTTGGAGCTTGATAAAGAGAGAAGAGCGAGGACCGCAGCGGAGAGGTGAGATTACTGTAGACGGCCACGTGACACAGATTGCACGCGATTGACATGGTGAACTCAGGCTGTTTAATACCGGCATGCGAACTCACACAGGCACCGTAATGGTGATGGTGGTGGGGCTAGTACTGGTGTGTTGAGAAGTCTACCGAGAAGCATACTTGCACTCACGGCCCTACTCTATGACGTAGAAAGAAACAAACGGGAGCAACCACTACCGCTTCCATCCATGAACTACACTTACTTTTTCTCTGTGATGTATCAATGTAGAGTACAACGCAGGATCTGAGAGTGCAGCACAGCCCACGCAGTGAGTCACCCCCCCCCCCCCCCCCTGTCTTACTCTGCTCGACAAACACCAGCACATTGCACCAGCTCCAGCTACGGGCCACCGAGTCGGACCTCGAACGAGAGAAGCTGGAAAGGGTTCTCGCATCTTTTGGTGGCCGCTCCCTCCAAGAGATCACCACCGCGTCCCAGCTCCTGGAACGTCGACTTAAAGAGGCTGAAACGGCGCTGGTCAACTCGCAGCAGCTCACAGCCGCGAAAGCTGCCGAAGGCTTGGAGGCTTTGGAGCAAGCGGCCAGCCTTGCTGAGCAGCTGGAGACTGAGCGGGTCGCGAGAGCCGCTGCCGAGGAGGCAAGGAGAAGTGTCACCCAAGAGCTGCGATGCTGCCTTCGGGGTCGTGCGAACGCGGAGCAGCAAGCGCGGGCGGCGACGGCGGCCCTGAAGAAATCCGAAGCGCAGAGGGAGTCGCTCGCGCAGCGACTCGAAGTTCTTCGGACGGCGAACAAGCGCTTGGACAAGAGGGTAGCAGCTGTCGCCCTTCAATCTTCTGTCGGGGCAAGGGCTAGGAGCAATGCTGGGGGTGGCGGTGGTGCTACTGACGATTCGGTTGCAAGACTTGCCGCGGCTAGAGCTCGCCTAAAGGTTCTCTCGACTTCCGGTGCTGCTGTGAGCTTGAACAACAACACCGGAAAAGGACGAGGCCAGTCGCATGCTGGAGAAGAAAGAGCTGCCGTCGAGAGGGCCGTGGGTACCGTAGCGGCCGAGAAGCAGTGGCGAGATAAGCTTCGCAACGCCGAAATGCAGGGAGAAGTCTTTCAGTCAGCCGCCAAGGCCTCTGCGACCGGCATGAAAATCGCGTTGAAGCAGAAGGCAGAGCTGGAGGAGATGAACCGTGTCTTGGTCAAGCAACTCGCTGGTGACATGCCCGCTGAAGAACGCGAACTGATCGGCAGGATGGCAGATGATGAAGACGTGATTAGATCACCAGCAGCGCCCCTTGTTGTTGGTACTGATGGTGAGAGCACATATAGAGACCTCGGTAAAGATGAAACGACCGCGACTTTGGTTCCAAGGGTCTTGGGGTCACGAATAGAAAGCGAGAGACAGCACCATGCCAGCGCTACTCAATGTTCGTCAGCAGTGTCCTATCCTGCAGTGGATCGATCGTCGGGCCTTCCTGCGGGAGACGGTGCTACGGGAGAAACAGAAACAGCGGCAACGCCGACTCCTCTTCGCCCCCCTGACAACAATCCTGAGATGGAACGCAACCACAACCAACAGCCGACGGAGCCTTGCAATCGGTCGAGGCAAGAAGGAGGGAAAGAAACAACGATGCCGCCGTCACCACCCTGCGTGATCCCCCAGAAACTAAGACCGGCGGCAGTCAGATCCTACAGCGTCGACGCTTGCAGGAGTGGCGCAACAAGGACAACGTCGCCGTGGCGCCACGACGGTTGTCCTTCCCGGCCACGCTCCGCCTCTGCTAGCGCTAACACTAGCCCGTCACCCTGTACGACGACCCCAACAAAGGTAAGATGTGAGCCACAGCAGCAGCGACATCACCACCAAGAAGGAGATGGAATGGTGGTGGCAAGGAACAACGATGCTTGCTGCTGTTCTTCGTCAGCTGCGCCGTTTAACCAACTCTTCTTTGAGTCGAAGAAGCTTCGTGACGAGGTGCTCTCGGCGGTGCGGAACGGGCCGCTTTGTTGGGAAGAGACCCGCTGCAAGGCTTGCAGCGGCGGCAACGGAAGCGGTAACGGCAGCGGCGATGTTGGTGTTGGTGTTGGTGTTGGTGTTGGTGGTGCTGGTGGAGGTGATGCAGGCGGTGGTAGCGGCGGCAGGGGTGGTGGTAGCGATGGCGATGGCGGTTATAGTGGATCACAGCTTGAAAAAGTTGGGGGGTCAACGGCGGTTACTTCCGTGCCGATCGAAGTGCTCTTGCGGCTCTGTGACAGGGGGGCTCGCAAGGCTTGGCGCAAAAGGGAAGGGGGAGTTGCAGACTGCGCGGTCGGCGGGGAGAAACCCATCGCTGGAGGCGTCGCTGCGAACCAAGATCTTGATCGGGAAGGAATGGCAGACGAGAGAAGCGACCGACAGAACTTGACGGAGTCACCAGCGGAGGGTTCGAAAATCACGTTGGATGACGACGCCACACACCTGACCTCGCCGCTACCTCCAGGGATCACGCGGGCTTTGGCGCAGCAGGTAGGTGCGAATGTATGACTGATTCTTGGGAGAAGGCGGCGCTTGCGTTGCGGAACCCTCGTCCGCGTCTCATCAAGGCCTTAAGAAACCCATGGATAAAACCCACACACTGTCGCGGCATCATCACAGTGTCCAACCATGTCGCTCACCGTATCACCATAAAAAAATGTGCCAACGAAGTGCCTTGGGTACTAATTTAGTGCCACGTTGGATCCGGCTCTCTTTGGCCGGTTTATCCTGACCGCTGCAACACGATGTCTGGAGAGAGACGCGTGTTTGTTCACGACACAGTGTCGCTCCCGTCCTTGCTGTCCTTCAGGTGCAAGGTGCGGTTGCTAGGGGAGATGAACGAGCCTTCCTCAACATCGTCGGCCGATGTGGGAGCACAGCTAGGGAGGGGATTGCAAAGCTTCTCGCCATCAATTTTCCCGAATGAATTCTGGGCGCTGCTGCGCAATGCCTGCATGGGGGTGCTGATGTTGGAGGCTCCGCACATTACACCAATTGGCCTGGGGGGGGGGCGTGGCCAAACGTAATGCACGTGTGTGCGTGCGTGTGAATCACCGAATTTTCGTGAGCCCAGGATATCCTCGGGTGCTGGTAAGCTACTTGTGCCTCTCAAACGATGAAAACATGCGTATTATGTGTCTCGAGACAAAGCTCCCAGCGCTCTTGACGTCTAGTACACCCTTGAGAGGACCGCAAGCAGCCAAGTCTTGGGGCGGACGAGACACTTGTAAGGTCGTGTATCCGGCTACAGGGCTCGCAGCAGGGTCTTCATGAAGCTGCAGCGGAACACATCACAACGTCCGACAAGCAGTGCACGCACACCTCCCGTACGGAAGGAAGGCACTAGCCGTTCAAAAGGAACTGCGCCATCGACGTCTCTGCAGACGGGGTGGGAGGGGGTGCGTGACTCGAACCCCGCGAGCTTCGAACAAGGACCTCAGCGCATCGGCCTTGGCGTGTCTCGTAACACCTTCACACCCACAACGTGCATTTCCTCGAGTCTGAAAAAAGGCATCTCGTGGAGCTGCAAAACGGATACAAAAGCAAGCCGATCATGGCAGCCAAGCGGGCCCTTGCGTTTGTCCAACTTTCTGTCGGCATTTGACTAAAAAACCCTCAACGTTGCTTTTGTCGAGAGAAACTCCTCTCAACATAAAGCAAACCAGCCCTTTCCTATCCTCTACCCGCCCTCTCTCTCTCGTTTTCGCTCGGGGAAGTCGGCGATATTGCCGCCACCATCCGTCTCCTGCAGGCTCACCAGTGCCACGTCCCGCGCCTTTCACCAAGGATCGGTCCATCAAAGCAAAACTATAAGCCTTGAGAGAGAAAACGCCTCTCCAAGCTATCACACCATCACCTTCCGCACCCGCCCCCACCTCCCAAACGCCTCGGCCGACAAGGCCAAGGCTCTGCCACAACCCCCACGCCACGTTTAATCCGCCAAAACGATCAACCGAGAGACGATCATCGCTGGGGTAGAGAGGAAGGAGTCCCGCCCAAGGGAAAACAAACACCCCCCAAGAACTTCACCAATTGCGTGTCCCCCTCTGAAGCGGGAACCGCAACACGCGGTTGGGAACGGACCCACCAAACACTTGTCTCATGATGGAAACATAAAACAGGCTGTAGCAAAAGGAGACGTGCCCGCGCCATGCCCGCGGACTAAGCCGGCAAGAACACCGGAAGAAAACTAGTATTCTACCTCCGGCCCTTCCCCTAGCACCCCCTTCATCATGCTCCCGCTGGCGACCTTGTTGCGCTTCCGAAGCCCCTTCGAAGAGGACGTCGCCCCCCCCCCATAAAGGTGTGCCTCCTTCCAATCCTCCATCGCTTCGCCCCCCCTCCAAGCGTCGCCTTCCGAGGCCGTAGCCCTGCACCGTCGGAGGTGGCCGAAACCGTCCCATATTTTCCGGGCAGGAGGGAGGTCGCCGGATGCGGAACCCGCGGTGGCCGTAATGGCGGGGTCCAGATCAGAAGTTACACGGAATGCGGACATGCATCACCAGCAACATATGATGCACCACTCTCTGGGCAAACGAAACTTCTCGTGTATCTAAAACAAGCTTCTTATTTTGTACACACACACCCAACAGTGCGTTCAAGGATTCAAGGGGGTATCTTGCTGGGAGGCAGAGATACCGCCTTGGGGGATAAGGACCGGGTCAGATGAGGGCAACGGATCTTCGCTCTCCCAGGGACTTCGAAGGGCTACATGCTTGCGGTGTCCTGGCAGCTACATTGTCCGCGCTGTCCGTTGCTGTGCACCACATGGCTCGACTCTTGTTTGATAACACAGCAGTGAAAAATGGTTCTCTGCACTTCATGTATCATGCCCCTGTTTCTAAATACCAGTGCATCTAACGTTGGATTGATTGTGCTCCTGTCCAGCTTATTCCAGTACAAGAGGGGGCTCTGATACACGAGGGTCGAAGACCTCTGTCACACCACCCTCCTTTTGTACATCGGAGCCACAGCCGCTGTATCCAAACAAAACACACGTGAGACAAGATCGTCCTGTTTTCGGGGGCGATCAATACACTCGCTTCCTCACCGGACCACCTACGCAAAGAAAGTAAGATTATTACGAGGCAGGGGACACGCAGACCCTAACCCCAGCTTAGCCGATTCTACACTTTATCGAGTATGTTTGCACAATAAAAAACTGCGTAGGCTACTGCGGACTGCCTACGCAAAGAACGTGAGATCAATATGAAAAAAAACGAAGAACTCTATAACCACAACCACAACATGGCAATTTCTATACTTTATCCAGCATGTTTGCTAAATTAGAAAAACCTGCGTAAACACTACTGTCCGCACCTGGTCTCGGCGTCAAGATCGTCCCACGTGCTACTCCCCACCGAACGGCGGGCCCAGTACTCTCGCTCCGACGCCGTCACCTCCCTCTTCGTCAGCTTCGACGTCACCAGCTGAAACTTGTGCCACAGGTAACTGGACATGGGAGGAAGGAGGGTGACCACAAACCCGTGCGTGTTGTACGGATACGGGTGGGAAAAAACACAAAACAAATTGTCGATTGATAAATATATGCACATGTTGAACGATATGTAGCGGCTTGAAAGTCTGTTTGGTGGGGCACTGGCTCAACTTGACTTGCCTCGCACGCAACCTGAAACCTTCTTCTTTTTGCTTTTGCTCGTGCCAGTGACCACCATAGGTCAAGTCATCCCTGAGGAAAAACGCGAACTTGTTTGCGCTAGAACAAAAAACACAGACAGAACGCACTATTTATTGGCACCGCATTTACACGCTGTAGTTAACAACAGTCCTGCTGCAAATCTGCGCAGCCTTTCTCTCACGTAGCAGTGTGGACGGGAAGCATGGCGAGGAGCACCACCGGCTGGTCTCTCCACGTGGGCTTGCGGCAGCTGCCCTTGATCTCCACCTGCAGCGAGAGCTCAGCGATCACCTCCGCCAGCTCGGCCTCCTTTTCCTTGCGGCTCTGCTTTACTACCTTGCTCCCTGCTTCGTTTTGAGAGGAGGCGGACGGCCGAGCGTCAACAGTACGGCAACAAAGCGCTGGCTTCTCGAGCACGACGTCGAGATCCCCCTTTCGGTGTTGGATGCTCAATTCTAGGAAAAATGGGGTACATCTACTCGAAAACGGCGTTCTCCGTGCTGTTACTCGCAACGTGTGCACAAGGAGGCCGCTTCGTTGGTTGAACGGGCCCTGTTGTTGGTGACACACTGCTGCTGTTGTATGCTACTGCCATAACCTATGTACCCTTGGCACGAGTACGGCCTTGTTTCAACCCCTGCCGTAGCTCTGACAAGCCCATTCCTGTTTTGCCTACGCCTACTCTACTCTGCACCGACAGCTCGAAAAGGGAGTCATCAAGTGATCGGTGCCGCTGCTGCTGTCACCTCCTTCTGTCTTTCCTTTGCAGAAAGCAGCGACATCACCACACCCCTGCGTACCTTTAGAGCCGACCCCGTTCTTCTTGCCCCCCTGGGCCTCTCCCTTTCGCTCGGCGAGCAGGGCTTCCGCCTCCCTCCTCAGCTGCATGGTCTGCGTGCCGCGTGCCGTTTCGAACGGACGACCCGACAACACAACGATCAACATAGGCATGGAGGGAGGGGGGGCGCGATAACCAGACGCGGCACAAAGGTAAGGTCTACATAGCACAAAGGCAAGGCACCTATGGGAAGGCGGCAACGCAACGCTTGGTGGTTATCTCGGACGTAACAAAAAAACTGACCCCCAAGTATCTGCAAGAAGCACCCGAGACGCGAGAGACCGCACGCACAGAGAAAAAAGAATTGCTACCGCTGTACGAACGTCGTGCTGCGACCATTTGCATTTGCGGCCACAAGCTGCATGCTTACCCCTAGAGAAGACAGACCCAGAAGGGGCCAAGGCGACTGACTGCAAACCATCGAAAGGCCTTTGGGATAAAGACGGCCGCCACAATCGCGGCGCGTTAGTTCGTAGCACACCTCCCATCCCAACCTTTTGATCAACTTCCCCCCCGTATGTACTACCATGACTTACCCACACGCCCCTGTGGTCTCACCTCAATGCTCCATCCTCTCGAGGGCGCGTGGTCAATGGTCTTAACCGCTGAGGCATGCAAAACATAAGCGTACGCCCCCCCCCCCCCCCCCCCCCCCCGGTTTTCCCCCCCCCTTTTCCCCCCCCTTTTTTCCCCCTTTTTTTTCCCCCCCCTTTTCCAAAAAACCCCCCCCCCTTCTTTTCCCCCTTTTTTTTTTTCCCCTCTCCCAAAAAAAAACCAAACCAAAAAAACCCAAAAAAAACCCCCCCCCCTCCCAAAAAAAAAATTAACCCAAAAACCCCTTTTTTCCCCACCCCCACCCAAAAACCTCCCTAAAAAAAAAAATTCCAAATTTATTTTTCTTTTTTTTTT